AGCTCTATCTAATGGTGGTGTATCTGTGTTGTTAATAACCACAGAAATCCAGTAATCAAAACTATAATCTCAATTGGTAAGTTGAACAATTATAAACCAAGTTCATACCAAATTAGACAAGCACTTCCTCTTTTAAGCCAAGAACTAAGTTGTCTCCAGTCATTTTGGATGGCAGAATAACTTGAAGAAGTTTGGTTTTCTAATTTTCCAGTATCCCTCTGCATTTCCTATTCATATAATTGAATTTTGTACCAATAAATTTTTCTCTTAAAGGTTATTATGAAAGTTTATAATAAATGTGATACTGAATTTTTATTATTTTTTGGTTTTATTCAAATATATATTATAGAGGTTCACTTGTATTGATTAGGACTATAAATATTTATTTGCTCTTACAAGAGTCTTAAATTGCTAAAAATGTGGCAGATGGGGAAAAGGTTGACTTTTAGACTACCTGTAAGCACCAAGTCCTGAAAGGCTTGCTTCCCCGATGGGCAGATCACTCCTGAGAGAGACTTTGTGGAGATCTCCCTCACCAGCACCCAATTTTCAAAAATTAAAATTGCTGCTTAATTTTTGAGCTAAATGTTCTTTATCGCAAACATTTGCTTTTATTTAGTTTCATTTTTTTCATGTATTGACTTCACAAGTCAGAGTTGACTATTTTTTTAACTTGGATTTTTTTTTATTATATTAACTTATTTCATTCAAAAGTCCCCATACTGAGTTAAAAGCATGTGGTTAAATTTCTAGATTGAAGCAGCGCAGTCACATTTGACAGGAAGTCAAGGCATTACCTAAGGGACTAGAGTTTCAAGGTCATCACCTTGAAACTGGTCTTGAAACAAGTCTTCTAACACTTATGCTTTTCCATTTGCCTGAGAAAAACGTTTCAGGAAATCCCCTTCGTGTTTCTTAGAAAATCAATCCTGCTGTGGTCTAGAGTAGTCACATGGGGAATAAGGAAAAGCAAAACTCAAAACCAGATCGAAATCACCCAGGCAAGACCTCTTCAGGAGCAGAACACTGTGTTAAACAACTGCAAAATATAAAAGCACAAATATTAGCGTTATCTTTGAGCAACACATAAAGACACAGAGGTGATGGGAACAGCAAAATGTGAAGTCTTTGCTGTCTTTCGAAAACTTGCCTTAATTAATTGCCATCTCCTAACTGTATGTGGCTTCATTTGGATTTGACAGTTTTGCTTTTAATTGTGCACATAAAATTAGTTCTATAACAAGGAATAATTGGTTTACATATATTTTGCACAGAATGTGTGTATGTGTGTGTGTGTGTGTGTGTATAAAGTAGAACTTAATACAATAATTTCTCCTGCACACATTAACCCCATGTGAGAAAATCAGACTTGTAAACTTTCAAATATTAAGCTGCACAAAATGGATGATTTTTTGAGGCAGAATTTTTTAATATATTTTTGCATAACCTAAAGAAAAGGGATAACCACAAAAAAGACTTGCAGAAATATTTTTTGTGAAATTAAATACGATAAACAATCTATCTCAGCTTGAATGATTGGGCTGGTTGGCTTCTGATGGCTTCACATGTTTTGTGCACCTCTGTTTATTAGAAACATATATTTTTCTGAAGATAACTGCTTTCTTTTTCTTCCTTCTACTTTTGAAAAAACACAAGAGATTTTTCTGGGTAACGTTAAATTTTTTTGTATGTCTGTTGTTCCATCTTCAGTTGATTTTGACAGATGTTCTTTTGTATTATAGATAAGACACACTTGCTTTTTGATGAACTGAATGATCATGACCTTTATAGTTGAAATTGTAAGGCCCCGTTAGAAAGCTGAGAAGAAACGGCAGAATTGTAGTTCTGACAGGCTTCTCCGGAAGGCCCAAAATAGTGTTATTGAAGTCATGCTCTCTCAACAAAGCATCGAAATAAAAAATGTATGCCTTTATTAGTTAAGGTCCTCCAGAGAAACAGAACCAGCTGTGTGTGTGTGTGTGTGTGTGTGTGCGTGTGTGTGCGTGCGTGTGTGTCTTTTACAAACAAACAAAATCTTCACTAATGTGTGTACATGTATAAGAATCAAGAGAAGTCAAAGTTACTGGGAATGAATAAATCATTTAAATTGAGTGACACTGATTCTTAACAGAAGAACGATCTTAAAACAGACAACTCATTTGGTAGAAATATAACATTTCCTGATTTTTAAAAAATCAAATAGAATGAGAAGAAATAAACCAGTATAAAGACAGAAGTCAATGAGAATATATTAATAAATGTGTTTTTCAATGATCAATTTGGAAAATGAAAAAGCCTACCAGTGAGTATCAGGTATATCAACTTGTGACACCAATCAAGAATACATTGTTATCAGTGTTTTCCTCAATGAGCAACTAGAAATGTAACCTGTGTGTTTGCGTATATTGAGGTGTATTGGCCTATCCATTTTCAGGTGCAATGTACACTGTATTACAGTTAGAATTACTTTGTCATATCCTCTTTCCCAGGATCTCAGGTGGTTTATTTTGATGGACTAGGAGCCCTGCTATACAGATTGGATAAAAAGCCCATAAGACCCATAAAAGATGTTATTTCTTTGAAGTTTAAAACCATGCAGAACAATGGGATTCTACTCCACAGAGAAGGACAACATGGAAATCACATATCTCTGCAATTAATTAAGGGAAAACTTGTCTTTTCTCTAAATTCAGGTAAAAGGCATTTGTTCTTTCATGCCAGTGATTAAAATAAAAATCTGGCTAGTTGGAAATACATCCATTGGTACTTAATTTTCACAGTTAAGGAAAGAGACCATATGATTTATCAGTGAAACCAAACACCTTTGAGAGTTCAGGGACACATTACTGATAGTTTCCCTGGGATAATGAGTGCAAAGTGGAATTGTCATGGGAAAGTGCGAATGAGAACTGAGGGACATTGCTAGCAAATGCATCCAGCCTGTACACATCTCCAGTATGATTTACGCAAACAGCACTTATTTTGACAACTGTGTAAGAAGGCCATTATAAATGCATTTACATACAATATATCACATATTGTCATTATACATAATCATACAGATAAGAATAGGCTGTTGTGAAATTATGAGCTGGTGCCTATAGTGATGTTCTAGCAAAGAAAATACTTGCAAGGTAAATGAGGATGTCATGAAAAGTCATAAAAAACAAATCACTAAAAAAAAGGCAATTTCAACAAAGTATAAAAGTGAATACAAAAGAAATCACAAAAGATATCAAGATGTCATTGTGTTCAATGAAGAGAAAGATGGATGATACTACCTAGGATGGAAGGGTGGACATAAGTTGTAGTGCTGATGCAGCAAGGGGAATCCATGGTTTTTAACAGAACCACCTCAGCCTGCTGTGCTTTCTCCTTTCAGGCAATGCCAACCTGCAGCCTGCTGGTGCCCACGTGAACCTCACCCTGGGCAGCCTGCTGGATGACCAGCACTGGCACTCCGTCCTCATCGAGGTCCTCAGCACTCATGTCAACTTCACGTTGGACAAACACACTCGTCATTTCCATGCAAGGGGAGAATCCAATTACCTGGATCTTAACTTTGAGGTTATCATAAATTGCATAATTTAAAAAAAAATTATAGTTGTAGATGAATAGAATGCCTTTATTTTATTTGTTTATTTTTATGTGGTGCTGAGGATCAAACCCATACGTGAGGCACGGGCTCAACCACGGGCCACAACCCCAGCCCTATAAACAGTTTCTTAACTTCTTTGAGGACATAACATCTTTTGCAATACATCGCCAGTATGTATCTGACTTTTCAATAACATCTATTCTGCCTGTTCTTCAAGGACAGTTTTGAGCTACTTTTGATCACATGAAGAATCAGAGCAAACCAGGAAAGCTGTGATGAGTGTCTGATTCCCATGGTTTTGGCACATAATATCTACAGAGACCCTGGTCTATACCAGATCATCCATGATTTTATTACCTTAACTGTATAATAACAAAATATAGGACCCAGTGTAGAGGTTGGCACTTTATGGGCCCGAATCTGGTCTTATTTTAAAAGAGCCATTTTGTCGTTTTAAAAAGTTTCATTGGAACACGTGTCCTTTTCCAAAATATGTTGTCTGTGGCTGCTTCGGTGCTAAAACTACACTATGGAGTGGTGCAGAAGGTACCAAGTGACCCACAGAACAAAAAAATATTCACAACGTGGCCTTTCACAGAGGAAGTTTGTCCACCTTTTTCTTTAAGTTAATGCACAAAGTCTGGTGCTAGAAATAACACCATCAAAAAGTGCCACCTAGAATAGGGGGGCCTCATTTGAAATGAACAAATGTGGAAATATAATCGGACACAGATGGATTTGTGACCACCATTGCTTGCACCTGTTAATCGTAACTGTTTTAAACAGATAATCAAAACATCACTAAACAATGTTATTTATGTCATTTTTCTTTCTAAGATCAGCTTTGGAGGAATCCCGACATCTGCAGGGTCCCTGGCAATCTCACATACAAACTTTCATGGATGTGTAGAAAATCTTTATTATAATGGAGTGGATATTGTTGAATTAGCCAAGAAACACAAACCACAGGTCCTTGTTATGGTAAGAAGCTTAAAAGGAAAGGGAAGGAAAATGAATTCTTAGTGTTTTGTGCCCTTAAAATATTTCTTTTGGGTGTTCATTTCATATAATATTCATAAAATCAACTCTTATTATTTAAACAGTGGCCATGTGATAGAAGTTTTTTATTATGTATTAAAAAGCTAAAAAGTAAATGTGCCTTGCAGGATATGCTTATTTCATGTTAATATGAAGTAAAGTAACTTCTTATTTTTGCATGGAGATCAGACTTTGTATGTCTCAAATATTTTGGGCATTATTATTCTCAGGGGACTAATTATTTTGCAATGAAAATCTCCAATGAGATATCCCTAAATAACTGGAAATATTTCCAAATCAGTAAACTTCTTTCCATGTTTAAAATTAAAAATATCTAAGTTTTGGGTTACAGAGCAAGTTCATGTTCAGTTTGACAAGTCTTAGAAGCACATCTTGGGACTACTTACAGATATTGTTTTAAAAAGTGTTTTCTTTCCTCTTATGGGCTGCAAGGAGTTGGCTTATGGGTTTTAGAACCAAAATCTGACAATACCTTTGGTTCTGGCTCAATAGGTCACAAAATGAATAATTCACTTGGGTTTGCAGGTAGAAAGCGGGAAAATAGCCATGAGACCTATGAATCTTCCAAGGAGCTTAAGGGGAAAAAAGAGGAGGAGGAGGAGGAAGAGGAGGAGGAGGAGGAGTTAGAAGCCTACTGTGATCCATGCCAAGGAAACATAAATGGTGGCTAAGAAAACATCAAGGTGCTCGAAAAGTGAAACCCTAAGGGAACACTGATAAGAAGGTTCCAGGTACCTTTGACAAGGTGAAAGATAAAGGAAGAACAGTCTTTTACCTGAAGTCCCCGTCCTTGGAGAAACTGAGACATTGAATATTCCTGGGACAGGAAGGAGAAGGGAGACTCTCGGTTACTGACACCAGCTTTGCCAGAGGTGCATTCTCAGAAACCAACCTAATGCAAAGATGTGTCTGGACAATGGGCCTCCACACCAAGAAGCCTAGCTAACACCTCCAGAACTTCAACCCATCATGTATTTGCCAATCCCTGGTGTAAAGAAGAGTCCTTCATCCCCGCCCTGACATCTTTGCGCTGTTGCCCTACGTACTATCATTGAGGTGAATGGGAATGAGTTAAAAATGAGTCACAAGGAGCCACAACTATTGGAGGGACTCAGACATTGTTTTCCATGCAAATTTCATATTACACTGGATCACTGATGGATTTCTTGGCATAATTATCATCTGATTATAGCCAATCAGGAGAACCACAATAACCCTGACACTTATGGAGTCCTAAATATCCTTCTAAAGAAAACTATTAACCAATTAATTGCATTGGTTGAAGATGGTGAAATGTTATCAGTTTGACATGGAAACAAGCAAAAAGAAGATTCCTTTCAAATTATGCATGGGAATAAAAAAACGGTAGATATAAGAATTCCACTTTGAGAGTTATTTCAATGTCAGATGTTCTTTATAAAAATAGAAAATCTGTTGCTTCAACATTTAAAAGAAAAAAAATATAATATATATATATATAATATATATATGATATATATACATATATATAAATAATTTGGTAAATTCAATTGCCATAATTGACTCATTCACCTAATCATCACTCATCTGTGGCAGGAAGTTTCACTTCTGTGTGGGTGCAAACAACTACCACCTAAACAATGAGGACAAGTGTTTGGAACAACCCAGCCCCGGTAGGCTGAAGAGGGAGAGGCAGACAGTCAGGAGTGCACAGAGTGCTGTTTATTGGGGGGTCTTATGGACAGAAGCTCCATCCTGGGTGGCAGCAAAACCAATGCATCTCCACAATTTGGGTCAGAAGGAGGGGCATATGTATGGATTAGGTCAAAAATTACTTCATGCAAACCAGAATGTTCCTGGCTTCTCTTAAGCTAATACCAAAGAACTGGGCTCATTCCTGCACCAGGGTCAGGTTCTGAAGCTCCACCTACCACTCTAATGGTCTTATCTATTTGTAGTTTGCTGCAAAACTATGCAGAACAAAACTGGCCAGCTTCCTCTGGGACCCTGATTGTTATGACTCAGGATGGCTGTGGTCAGGTCAGACTGGATCCTCACCATTTGCAGCTTACCAAAAAAATTAAAAAATTAATAATAGTCTGATGGTTAGATTTATACTATGGGTTAGTGTCTATTACTGTTCATCTTTTTATATTTAATTCATCATAGCAATTTTTTTACAATAAAATTTATCACATTCAGTAGAATTTTTTTAAAAAGCCAAGAATGGATGTTCTGATTTATATATATATAGTTTTAATGTACATTGAAGATTATTTTAAAATGAAAACTGAATTATTTTAGTTTCTGAAGTACGTTAAGACAGAATTTTTAAAAATATGATTCAGTCTTAAAAGTGACTTTAATCCTTGGATCAGTAATTCTAAAACTTGGCTTTAGCTTGGAGGCACCAAAGGAGATCTAAAAGATACTCTCACCTCAATCCACTCCAGGAGACTGGGATTTAATTGGTCCGGTTGTGGATTTTTAACAGCCATTGGGTTCAACATATACAGTATATTAATAAAAATTATTCAAAGAAAATTCCAAATAGAATAAAAATTGCTTTTTCTCTGTAACTGAAATTCATACATGTAAATAAATACCCACTGTTCCTTCCTTCCACCATCTGGAAATAAAAAACAAAAACAAACATAAAGAACAACATAAAGATGGCGCCTTACTTGCCAGATATTAAAACATGCCCAAAGCCCATAAGAATCAATATGGTGTTGGGTGGGGTTAGGCCAGTTGGTAGAACAAAGCAAAGACATCAGAAAGATCCCAGTCTACTTATAAGTTAGTAACAAGTTGTAGGGTTCAGCTCAGTGAAAAAATGGAGGAACTATCTCATAAATTCTTCTGGAAAAGACCAGTGTCCAGAAGGCAGAAAGTAAAGCTGGATCACTATTTTGAATATACCAAAATATGTAAATTTCAGGAAGATGAGAAACTAACAACAATGATAGCAATTCTTGGAAGAAAGTCTGCGTGATTATGCATAGAACCTGGTGGGGGGCATGAAACTTTCCTAACAAACTGGAAACTCAAAAGCTACCCAAGAAAACAGAGACATGATTGAATATAAAAATTAATATCTTCATGCTAAACACACTATAAGCAAACTTTTTATGTAACTGCCTGAGCTGGAAAAAAAGAAAACATTTGGAATACTGTCAAAGTATAATTTTTCAAAAGCTAAACAAATATGAAGCAAGTAATTATTGAAAAACCTTATGTCAAAGATGTAATTGACTCATTAATTAATGAGAAAATCAGTAAAATAATGAAGTTGGTACAAAGTATATTTTGAGGAATGTTATTTAGGAAAGATCAAATGTTGTTCAGGAGAACAGTCAG